ATTGATTTTAGTCCAGGATCACTGGCAAGAAAATATATTCAGAATGAATTTTCAAATCAAAAATGGAACCGATTTAAAACATGGTTTTTTGACACTTATAGTGAAGAAGATTTAAACAATATTTCTCAAGAATTTTATGAAACATGTGCTCTACATAGTCATATTATGTTCTTTGTGCCATGGTTTATAACCACTTATTGTTCTTGAAAGATCTTACAAAGATGAATCAGGTAAAACTATTAATTCCATCTACCCTCCTTAAGCTTCGTTTGTTTTACCTAATAATACATGTATTACTTTTACTGCGTTCCAAAAATTTATTGATAATGAGGTTGCCGCAGTAAGTATAAATGAAATTAATCGTCTTATTTCTCAAAATAATTATTTGGGTCTGTATGTTAAAGTTATTGGTGAACATATTTGTTCTCTCGATAAAAATTAGATAGTCTAACTAATCTGATTGTTCAAATTGATGATAAGCTGAAATCTGTGAAACAAGTTGCAGAACAGGCTTCTACGCCAAAATAGCTTGATGTTCCTATTCAAAGACCTCTTGAGATTCAGGATTTTATTCTTAGACCTCTTCATGATCTTGAAAGCCTTTTAGATAAAAAGTTTTCAGAATTTGGTGCAAGTGCAAAACCTATAAGCCTCGCTGAAGATTTTGCAGATGAATGGAAGCCACTTTCGATTTCAAGACACAAGTGGAAATGGAAGTTAATAAACTCCATGGTTATCTAAAGAAGAATAGTGGTAATACGTATGCTAGAAAACCTAGTATGCAAACTTACTACTATCCCAGACCAACTCCTCAAGATGTCTTAATAGAGGAAATAGATTGGAATCAAACTAACACCTCTTATAGTGGAAGCGAGATTTATGAATGGAATCTCGATGGTTTGACTGATAGACAGTTAACTATTTTAGTTCATAGGATGCTTATGTATGCTACCATCTGCAAGAGTGTTAATAACACTGACAGGACTATTTGCAAGATGATTATTGCAGGTTTTACGGGTTAATTAAGAGGTTGGTGGGATAATTATATGACCCTTGATGCAAAGGCAACAGTCATAAATGCTAAAGCTACAGTCGAAGGAGTTGATTACCTAGGATTTGCTTTAGTCAAAAATAGAGAAGACGCTGTTTATACCTTGGTCTTAACCATCCTAGAACATTTTAGTGGTAGATTTACCAATCAATATGAAACCATTAGATATTTACTAAATGGTCTTAGATGTAGACATTTAGGTGAGTTTAGATGGTATAAAGATACTTATTTAAGTTGGGTAATGGAACTTCCCGAAAATGGTTTAGAATTCTGGAAAGCCAAATTTATTGATGGTTTACCTCCTTTATTTGCAGAAAGAGTGAAAAAGACTCTTAGAGATCCGCAAGGAATTATTCCCTATAGTAATTTTACTTATGGAAAGCTTATTGGGGCTTGTCCGCAAGAAGGCATAAATTTGTGCAATGAGTTAAAACTTTCAAGACAGCTTAAGATGGATAAGCTTAGAGAAAAGTTTCAATTGGGAAATTTTTGTACTCAGTTCAGTTTACCGATACTTCCAAAGGTACCAACCGAGAAACTTCTAAATCAGAATCTCATAGATCTCATCATAAGAAAAGAAGATCTAGAAGAAGGACTAGAGAAGAAAGAGATGAGCGTAGGGCTCATCGTAAATTTCATAGATTTACCAAGAATAGGTCAAGGTGAGATCTTGATAGCATCGTAAATCTCATAGCTTTACCAAGAATACGTCAAGGCGATATCTAGATAAGATTAAATGTCATAAATGTGGAAAATTTGGGAATATAGCTCCAAATTGTAAGCTTGAAAAGCTTAAGACTCTAGAACTTGATGAAGATATTCAAGAAAAGATTTATAGTTTTCTTTATACTTCTGGTTCCGAATTAGATTATGATGATTCTGAAGCAAGTTATGCCACAGAGGATGAGCAACCTGAATCTTCTAATAAGGTGCAATAAGATTCGAATGATGCTTGCAAATGTCATGGTGATATTTGTCATTGTGAACACGATGAATTCTACAAGCTACAATCTCAATTCGAAGACATGAATATGTTCACCATCACTGCAGACAATGTGATAGAACTTCTAAAAGAAGTTACTGATAATACTCTTCGTGAAAAGATCATTCAATTGGCTGCTGGTAAAACTAGCTCTTCATCTAGTATTCCTAATGATAAAAAGGTTAAAGATGAGTTTAATTATTCTGCTCCTTATTCCTTATCTGAAGTTCATAATAGACTCTTATTTTGAAAAAACAATTCATATGGTTAAATCTGCATCTGGTCATGCTTTAGATATAAAGTATAAATTATCTAATACTCGTATTTGCCAGAATAAAGTTTGTATTCCTCACTTCATTTCTTAGTAAAAAATCAGTTATACCCTCCTATCATTCTAGGAACTCCTTTTATAAATGCAATTTATCCTTTTACCAATATAAATGCTAAAGGATTTTCTGCTACTTATAAAAATCAAGATATTAGTTATACTTTTATCACCGAGCCTATTTCTAGAGATATTAATGCTCCAATTGAAATGAAACAAAAGCATATTGATTATTTATAACTTGAGATATTTAGTATGAATATATTCGATACTTTAAAATCTGCTAAAGTACAGGAAAAGATTAAACTCATTTCTGAAAAATGGCCATTGATATTTGTGTTGATCATCCTAGTGCTTTTTGGAATAGAAAAAGGCATATTGTGACTCTTCCATATGAAGATGATTTCTCTGAGGAAAATATTCCTACCAAATCACGTCCTTGTCAGATGAATACCGAATTGGTTGAATTTTGCAAAAAAGAAATTGATAATTTATTACAAAAAGGTTTGATAAAGCCTTCCAAGTCACCATGGTCGTGTACTGCTTTTTA